ATTAACACAGCAGAAATATTTGTAGGGATTAATGTGCCTCAGTAGTGACGATTTCAACTTAAATGGTGTATGGGTGTACAATGTATTGACATTATACAATTATAATAACACATTAATAAAAAACACAGTATGGGTTGGTGGTTGGGTAATCCAATTTATCATTTTTTTTTGAGCTAACAAATTCTTGGGTTGTCGCTAGCCTAGCGGTAGCGTCTCAGAAATTGATTTGAGGCTGATGAGTTCGATCCCAGCACATCAATAAAAATTTGCAAATGAAGGTATAGGTTTTGTATAGTTGGATCTAAAATTGTAGTCTCATTTAATTGAGATAAATAATTACCCTAATAAAAACTAGTGATTTCATAAAATGACAAATTAGGATTCTTTAATTTTTCAATGTTTTGACAATTCAATTTGTTGTATCATTTGACAATTACAATAGGCCTATTATTGACAAGTCCCAATTGAATTTTTTCAGATAATCAGAATGACCAGTTTGTAGAGGAAATATCGGACACCGAGGTTGTCGACTACACAAACTACGAGACGACCGAGCCACTTTTTGAGAACGAGTCGGCTGGTGAGTTGGTTTTGACAGATATAAACCTAGTCTTAGAATTCACTAACCTATAATGAATGTGTTGCTACCAAAGTGGTTAGTGTCTTGGGCTTCTATGCAAGAGGGGAAAGTTCAATCACCTGCATTCAAAAACTTTTGTCAGGTTGGGAACGCTTTCCCAAAAGCGTTTGAGATTCATAAACTGGCAAAGACACAAATAAATTATATACAAAATGAAAATTTCTTCCACTAAATTTTTGATAGATTCTACATCATTTCATCAATTTACAGAACTATAACAAACTATTTCCATGTGGTATTGTAAATTGTAAAATTGTATAAATTTGTAAATAAGTATTTTTTTTTATAATTAATAATAATAATCTATTCCAATCACAACAAAAATCTGCAAGCACCATAATTTTGTAAAAAAAAAAAAACAACAACAGTTAGATTTTCAAACAAAGGGAAAAACTATAGACTGGTTATTTATTTTTTGCATGTTGACAAACCTATTTCCACTATTCTGTCACATAATTATCTGTAAACTTTGTGGAAAAATTACACAATTACATTTAAGACAAAGAAGAAAAACTATAGTAGTCTGGTTAATTTTTTGCAGGTTTGTCAGACTTGGATTTCAACAATGACATTGAAAAACACCTTTTTGACGACACTACCTTCAATAACTCGGACTTTTTGACATTCGACGATGAAGAAATGCTTAGTCTCTTAAGCAAGTAGAAAATGGTTTTGTGCCTTACCATTGATCTCTGATAAATTGGTGATGTTATTTTGTAGATTTTAAAAATATTTATATATTTTTTTAATTGGTATTTTTGTACAAAACGAGGTAAATTTGTAATGTGTGTTTATAAAGAAATGAGATAAAATCTCAATCTCATGATGCTTTCAGATCTCAGCTCGGGGCCAATATTTTAAATGTTTATTAAACATGATGTTTGTCCTTGAGTTTTTGTACAGGACTTGTGATTTTTATTTTGAGAATATATTATTTTTGTGTGTTTTATGGTAGCTCTTTTTTTTTCTTTTTTTTTACATTATTATTTGAGGTAGTTAGTTTTAATTGAGTACAAATCTTGCTATATTCCAGTACCACAGTGCATTTAACAGTTTAAGTTCGAAAAAAACCAAAGATATCTGATGTTTGTGTGATAGTTGTGCAATTTTTGAAGTCTTATATTGGTTCAATTTTGAATGATTTAAGGACATTAAAAAATACATTCTTAGAAGAAGTAGTCTTGAATGGTTAAGAACAAAGAAAAATGTATGTAGCACAATGATTAGAATATTCGTAAATAAAAAACACAACTCACCGAGATTATTGTAACAATATATACATATCACAGTATATAATATCAGCCAGTTTGTAAATATCTAGGTTTTTTTTTGATGCTACCTTATTGCAGAAAATGCTCCAAAATTGCAATAAAACTAAAGAAATTTAGGAATACAGTCAAACCTCGTTATAAACGAACCTCAGTAAAACAAATTCCTCGATAAGACATTTTTTTTTAAATCCCCTTGAAACTTGCATAAAAATCAATGCTAAAACACTTCTATTCAACATAGTAATTAGGTTATAAACCTCCATAAGACCTCCATAAACCCCGAAATTTGTTTGTGGCATGGGCTAGGACTGATTAGCCTGTGTACAACGAATATTCTTAGCACAAAACCTCTACAAGACGAATTTGACCTCAATAAGACAAATTTCTCACGATCTTAACCTCTATAGTACTGTACGTAGTTTTCAACGGAAAGTAAATAAAAGAAACGTCTTATAACACTTAAAACATATATTTACGCTTATACTGTTACTCACAAGACGGTAAATATACAAAATAATGCAAATCCTTGATAATACAAATTTTTCCAATACCCCTTGAAATTCGTCTTAGAGAGGTTCGACTGTAAAACAAAACGGCTTAATTGATTTAATTAAGTTCAGCCTTTTTGCTGTTTGTGGGATTTTATTTCAAAAAGCATGATTGTCACCAGCTGTTTTGTAATGGCTGGTTTTGTACCAGCCTTTTTGTAAAAAAAATCACAAATTATAATAATTCTGAATGAACAAAAACCCTAGAATGTTACAGCCCAAATCATCAAAAGTAATGATTTAGACTACAAGTTGTTTTATGAAAACCCCTTACTTTTTACAAAATGGCTGATTTAGTAATGTTACATTTGTACTGCGACATAATAACTTCTTCTCTATTTGAGTTGATAAATTTTTAAAGGTACATAGCTCATTAGTTATGTTAAGAGATTTGATATTTACAAGGTTAAGTGTGTGTTTTAGATTTATTTTACATATTAAGTGCACTAAGTCTTTCTTGAAAAATTCCAAAATGATATAAAGACAATTAAGCATAAGTTTAGGATAATTGAACTGTTTTGGATATTGTTTGCTTGGCTTGTTTTATTTAGTAGGATAGAATAAAAGGTTTATTTTAGGAAATGAATAATGATAATACGCCACAAACACACATATAATGATAATACGCATTTTATAGTGCTAAGAAAAAGAACGGATCAAACCTTAGTGTAATTAATTTTGTGCTGTTGTTATAAAACATTATTAAAGCCTTATGTGCCAAATAGTTATTAGATGATTCATAAGTTTCAAAGAGCAAATAACTTAAAAGTTTAGAACTAGTGAACTTGTGATTAAAAATTGTATTTATGTTTAAGAGTTGTTAAATTATGTGGAGCTTGTCAACTAAATGCAGAATTTCCATATGCATATAATTTAACCCATTTGCACTGTTTTATTTATTTACCAAAAATCCCAGTATCACTGAAACACTAAAAATTAAAAAATAGGCATTTGACTATTTTTTATGATGATTTATAGTATTTTATAGCTGAAAATAATAATAAAATTTATATTTTTATATTATTTTGAATTTTTATATGTATATGTATTTAGGATTAGAATATGTTTACACTGTTTTATATATTTCTCAAAAAAATAGATACATATACCTGCCTGAAAAAATATTAGACCATTTTTTATTTTCTTTTATAGTATTTTATAACTGAAAATAATATAAAACATATAATGTATATAAAATTAAATATTTTATATGAATATGTATATGTATTTAGGACATGTTTTCACTATTTTTAATACTTTTCATAAAAATAGTTAAATATCTGCCTGTATTACGTAAATATGTAATCATTCAAGGAACATAATATTTTGATATATAAATTTAAATATTCTAAGTATATACTGTAGGTATAAATGGTTCATTTTTTTAAAAAACAAAATTTTCAAATTTCATGGATGACGTACCAGTACGTATATATCACTGACTTGTTGTACTGGTACGTCATCCGATGCAAATGGGTTAAAGGCCTTTTCCAAAATATGTAATTGTAAAACATACAAGACCCAGTGAATGTTAAAGCAAGAGATATGGTGTATTGAGATAGGCTTTTGATTATTCATGTAGTCTAGAACTGCAAAACACATTCAAATTAAAACTAAACTAAACTCATTAGTATTATCACAGATTGCTAGAGATTTATAGCGATTTTTGGAGATTAGTACTGTATTAAGTTACTTAAATTAAGTGTACAAAATTCACCAATGTAGTACAACATTTTAAGATTTACATTTAAGCTTTTTGTATAATATGTGTATAATTTATTAAACTTTTTCAAGTTTTTCTTAAAGAAAAAAATAGATATTCATGTGTTATTTATTTTCCGTTGTAGCTTTTTTACCAAGATCAGCTGTTTTTTTTTTCTAGCCAGGATCATTTATTTAGCCAATGATCAGGAACAGCGGGTCCAGTTTCGAACCATCAAAAAACTTCTGACTTTTCTAAGGATCGAACCGGCGACCTTTTCATTGTAAGGCGAGCACAACTTAACAGGGTAATGAGAACAGTAACCGTTAGTGTCAATATCAACTTTTCTTCCCTCGCTTCTAGTGTTAAATGTATTTCTTCTCATAGGAACTGCCTTAATGGGAAATTAGATCTTTTTTGAAAAGGGATAGAACTCAGCTAGCTTAGAAGAAAATTAGAGTTTAGGGGTTCAATTCCAATTATAGACACACTAAGAGGTCACAAACCACAACACTGATACTTCTTCCCAATATATTACTTCTTCAAAGAGTATGTTGAAGATATTTTGTTTTTGTATTTGCACCTACAATACGACTAACACTACAAGGCAACCATTGAAAAATGTTGGGAATAGGAAAACCTGAAATCAGGACAGTTATAGGTCTGCAACAGAACAGTAAACTGTGCAAAACTAAAACATTCAGGATTAAAAGAGCATAAAGCGTTACAATATAAAAATGAGGTTGTATTTTTTTAAAGTTTCACTCTAATGGTTTTACATGTTACCATTAAATTTAAAACAACACAAACAAAACAATAAATATACAAGCATCATTAAGTACAACGGACGGATTTACAAATAACTTAATAATAGAAACCAAATTTTAATCAAAGTAATTTCTAAAAAATTTAGTACTATGATAATGAAAGACTATACAATTTCAATTTAGAAAACACCAAACAATGGACTCTTTGGAATTGATGATTATAAATAAATTACTTTGTTGTTGCAATAGCAAATCACACAAAGCCAGGAAAGTTTTGAACTTTTGAGAAAACTGCAAGCCGTACACCTAACAACTGCATACTTGATTGAAAGGTCTTGATTTGAAACTTGCCCAAAAATATCAGTTTTTCGATAAACCTAAGGGCAGGAACCTCAATTAAAGGGCTGTATTTATTTAATCACATTAAAAATAGTCAGATATATCAGCTGTTAGATTTATTTTGTTTTGGTTTGATTGTTTACTTTTGTTTACCTTGAGTTAACCTTTTGATTCTACCATAGATTTCAATGTTGCATCAAGAGAATTGACAGAAAGTTTTTCTTATAATGTGCGATAGTGTTCAAACCTTTAAATTCTGTTTCAATTGTTTACTCTGTTTACTACAGTGCAATTGATGCTGCAAAGAAACGTTGTGTATATTACTAAGAGACACAAGAACCATAGAGTTTGGACGGAGCCTTGTGTGTTCCAACTGGGGAAAAACACATTTTTAGAGTATTTTCCTTGTGACATTGGCAATGATAAAATTAATTTATATCAAGAAAAAGCACTTAATCAACCAGCAGTTTGCATTGGACATGGCAGTGAAGAATCATCATATCTTCTTTGTGTTCTCTCAGAACAACTAGTTGATATTAATGATATTATTAATAGAACTAAAGCTATAGTGATGGTATGAGTGTCAATAAAATTTTTAAACATCTATCTAGCATAATAATTTAATCTATCGCTTCAAACAAGGCTAATAATTATAATCACTTGATTCATACTTGTTTCTTGATTAATAAATAAATATGCACATCTCAATCATGAAATATAAACTGTAAAAATACTGTATGTATAAATTCTACTTTCACTAACATGAAACTTAATCTAAGGGTTTTGATGCTAATATTTTCAGTCAGTTCAGACCGTAAAGTGAGTACTTTTAACCCTCCGAGTGTTATGTGTTGAAATGTCTACACATAACACACTCTGTGTAGTGTTTTGTGTCGAAATTTCAACTCACAAATACTGTTTACGGCGAAGGCTCTATGACTGACAAAATTGGATTGAACTGGATCGAGTTAGGTATCGTTTTATTTGGCAGATTCTAAGCTTTCTCCCGAGGTCTGTCTCTAAGCGCTTTTTTTTCTCGGGCCGTTCATAATTGTAGCAGACAGCTGACGTGCGTATTTGTAAACAGCTTGGTTAACCTCGCACTGATGACTGATGTCTTTTATTACGTTTATCATTGTTTTAGTGTTAAAAATCAAAAGTAGTGATATACGTGGTTGTGGGGCATTATAAGAAGATTTAAGTGATTTTGAAGGGCTGGTTGATGATCCTGAAGAAGTAGGTAGTGATATTGATGTAAATTATCAGCCAGATTCCTAGCTATGGTTAGGCTATGTATTCTTAGCTAAACGCTATGTACTGAAATCTGTTTTTTGCCCATAACTTATTTATTTGCAAATCTACTTCCTTATATTATCATATATTTGTAATCCTTATAAAATTTAGAACAAAGTGGCTATTTTCAAATATTTATAGGCCTATAATTTACACAATTTCATTGAGCGCGAACTTATTTTTTTTTTTTTATTTTCCAAAATATTTTTTTTTACCTAAACATTTTTTTTTAAACAAATGTTCCTTATGTTTTATGTATAATATTGAAGCCCATGATTTTCCAAACAAAATGGTATAAAACAGTATAATTAACATTGTTTTTAAGCTTCTCAGATCCGTTTTAATAAAACCTTGCAAATGCGCAAAAAATAGGCAGACATTAAGGCCAAAACTAGGGACACTCGGAGGGTTAAGTTTTTAACACTCTAACAAAGTGTTTTTTTTTCCTTGAGCCTATGAAATTGTACTAGTTTAATCAAGTAAACAAAATTTACCCAAGGAATCTAGCATTTAAATTTAATTACATTATTCCGGGCTATTTATTACCTAAATGACACATTAATTTTCATTCCAATATCACAGAAGTTATATTAAGCTTAACCTAACTGAAAAACTATTTTCAAAATCCTTCAAATTAATCGAATCCCTTAAAAAAAGAATATGAATTTCCTGAAACCCCTGAATTTTCACGCCTTCTACTACAGACAGGCAGATTCAACCCGATAAGGCATAACTGAAACATTAACACTACAATGAATTTCTTCTATAGCTGAAATCATTGAATATTGATAGAAGTATAGAAGTAGACATCCTATTCCCATGTAGAATTGTTTTGGTTTGACAATGGATAGTTGAATTGAGCTATTAAAATCTTTAACCTTCAGTTTTTGGTACTTTGTTTAATGTGACATCAAATAAACTATACTTACAATAGATTGTCTTTACAATTGAGGAGCTAACATGCAAACCGTGTTTTGTCCAATATTTTTCAAAACTCAGCTGATGATTGATTCTAATTTATTTTCTCCATTTCCACTCAAGGTAACATTGCTTTTCAGGCGAAATAAGCTTTTTCCCATTTAAAACTGATATTGAAAACTGGGTGTTCGTGCAGAGTGAGTTTTGTCCTCAGGTGGCTGTAATGCAAAGCGTGTTTTGTCCAACTGGCCAATGGATGCAGCCCTTTTGGTCACATGATCCTTTTTAATGCACCAATCGTCGAAGGACAAGCAGATGAATTTGATGATGAAGAAGAGTGTGATTGCTTAGCCCATGAATACCCATGAATAGCCCACTTACATGTGTAGTGTTTAAAGCATTGAACAGCCAACTCTTAGTAATTATTATTATTACTTTAAATGAGTACCTACTTAATGTTTGTGCGGAGGATCTCAAAATAATGTTTAATTTTTTTAAATATTATTACTCAACAAGTTACATACATTTGTAATGTTTTTAGCATTGAACAGCCAACTTTTATTGATTTTAATGTTTAATTTTTCAAACTGATACTAAACATATTACATGTGTAATGTTTAGAGCACTAAACAGCCAATTCTTAACCATTGTAATGTTTAATTTTTAAAATTAACATTAAACCCATTTTTAATTCAAAACGTGTTTTGTCCCAACACGTTCCATTCAAAGCGTGTTTTATCCAAAAGGTCCATGCAAAACGTGTTTTGTCCAAACTTTATAACATTTTTTAAATGATTAAATTAATATATAACTAGATAAAACCTTAGGCTATTGGGTACTTTTCTAGAAGTGCAGTCAACAAGTAAAAAAAAAAATCAATAAAATCCTTCCATCCAAAACTTTTTTTTCAGTTTTCTGTGCTTCCTGAAAAGTACACAAACTGTGACAAAACACGGTTTGCATTTTAGCTCCTCAATTTGGCTTTGTAAAATAATTAACATATTAGAGTAATTTTTATCAACACGCTCTTTAAGAGACTCAATCAACTATGATATGGATAAAAAAGGCTACAACTAGTCCAAATAAAATTGGATGTCTACTTCAAAATTTATAAGGCAACGTTTACGTTCACAACCAGTTGTTTGACTCACAGTTAGTTACGACAGGTGTACATGCACCAGCGGGTTAGGGTTACGAGCCACGGGCGCAGGCGAGTCTGGGTGTTGGCTCTTGATGTGGTTGGCGCACTGGGTCGACTGTCGGAACGCTTTACCACAGACCTACAAACATCGAGGTATGGACGTAGTAAATATTAGTTTGGCAAAAAGATCCAGTACACTTTCAATGCAGGACAACTTAAAAGAGTACATTGGATATGATGACAGCAGATTTCTTCAAAAGTCGAAATAGTAATTATGCAAGATATGTACAAAACCCTTAAAAACATTTTTTGTCCATAACTGTCTTTGCCTACACTTGACTTACCTCTAGGGGGCAAAATATTGTAAGTTTTCACTTCTTTGGGTTATCAAAAGTATGGTCCATCTGGACGTTTTCTCAGATAAACTAGCTTCTATTCCCCATTTTTCAAGAATCAAAATTCCTACCTAGAACCTTTTGTTTTTGTTCAACAATAATAAATATTTCAGGTTGATTAGTAGAGTATTTACCTGACAGAGGTATGGGAGTTCTCCCGTGTGTACTCGATGGTGACGGACGACATCTCCTCGCTTGGCGAACCCTCGTCCACAAACATCACACACGTGAGGTCTTTCGGCAACAACAACAACAACAGTAACAATCATTTAATAATAACTGAATCTAGCAATCATAAGCATTGTCAGAATACGCTTGATGAATATGAGTATATATTATCGATAGGATGATCAAAAAGATTCTTCATAACTTTACACACGTCACATAGATAATTCAATAACAATTATGGTTGAATAGGATCTATAAAGACTACTAACTGTGCATTTTTGTGGATAGGAATAGCAACACAAAAGACAAATCACTTAACATATTGTAGAGTGTATTTCAAACTAAGCAATACCTTTCTCCAGTGTGCGTTCGTCGATGGATCACCAGATGAGAGCTGCGCGAGAATCCTTCTCCACAAACCTACGCAATACACGCATACAAGGTCACTCGTCAACATGGTGATTTTGATTTGAAAACAATACACACATTAAAAGACAACAAACATAAACGATTTTGATAGTCATAAAAAAACATGACAACATATTTTTGTTGCTGATAAATTTGCATCTGAATTGTCGAATTTAATAAATGCAGTGTCATGTTATCAATGAAAAATCAAGCGTACCGCCCTGATGATGTGCTCTATTTTTTTTCATAAAACAAATTGCAATTAACTTATTCTTCGGCAAATCGTTTTGTCAGCAACACAGGTATAAGCCTTTGTTTGTTATTCCTTTGCAGAGGTCAAAATTGTGGCATTCTAAGCCAATGCACAACAAATGAGTGAATGAAAACACCGTTATGTTTTCTTAGCAAAGTTTTACAGTATTTCATAGCCTTTAACAGTTTTCAAGTAAGATTGTGTCTGATTTTGTTTCCCCTCATATGGTCTGATCCAAGCGCTTCTGATTGGACTAAAATAAAAACCTTTAACTGGAGGTAGCTAAATCAGCACCAATTCCATACTTACCATGCACTTTATCAAAATAATCCAACATTTATGTACTCACTACACATTTGTTGAAGACTCTGTATTCCTAAACATTTGGTCCACCAAAAGCCATTTAGTTAAGTTAGATAGTTAGGACGTTTGTAATGATTACCTCGCACACGTACGGCCGCTCGCCAGTATGTGTACGTTGGTGTTTGACAAAGTCCCCCTTGGAGTAGAAGCCCTGCGGACACTCCGCACACTGAAAGGGCCGAACCTCGTTGTGTGTCTTTGTGTGCTGCTTCAACGTGGACTTTTGACAAAACGCCTTACCACACTGTGAACAACACACATGTTATTTGTGCAGAGTAACACTTTGTTGCATAAGAAAGAAACACTTGTACACAAAACTTTGGGAAACTATACATCACATCACTAAATTTACTGTAAAACATGATGGGAATTATTTTGAAAAGGGATTAGCTAGCTTACGTGAGAAAATTTTTCAGGGAGGGATTGAAGAGAAATGTAAGTTAAAAATCAACATTTCTCTTCAATCTACTCTCTAAATAAGTTCTATATTATGACGAAATATCAATGAAAACGCCATAAGGTTAAAAAAAAAACCACTAACAATGCCTGATTTGAGATACAGCCACAAAGAAGCCATCCATCCTATCACATTGTACCCTTACTCAGGTCAACTGTTTACTTTAGGTTGGCTGCTTTCACCAAAGTCTTCCAGAGACATCTAAAACCCTCGCATATTAGACCTGAGCAAGACAGGAATTGAACCCTCAATCTATGATGTCTAACCCGAGGCCAAGAGTATTAGTTCTAAGCTTAGCACACAGATAGCAACACATATCAGGACACCTTTACGCCTTCTAATTACAGTCGACTCTTCACTCTCGCTGAGGCTAGACGACTTCTGGTAAAAAGTTATCAATATGCTGCAGCACATAAAGCTGATGCATCTGATAGATCCTCCTCCATTTTTTTAGAACCATTAGAACCTTCAAGGAGTGCTTGCACTTGTGGTATGGACTCGCTGCAGTGTGGACGGTCACCGTAAAGCGGGAGATAAGAACCTTGGCCAAGAGTGTAGAGGAACCTTTAGTTATGTTTGGATAGGTGAACAGGTAAGTGCAAATTTGTCACTCATGATAAAATATTACAAATTGAGATAGAGAAAGTGTAAACTATAATTAATACAGATAGTTACCTCCTGACAGAGGTAAGGTTTGACGCCGGTGTGAGTGTTGATGTGATCACGCAACAAACAGCTGAAGGCGAACCTACGACCACATGTGTCACAGATGAAGTTCTTATCTTGACTCTTCAGTCTTCCCCTCAAGTCATCTGTGTGTAAACCTGAATAATAAATCCCTTATAATTTGTAAGAATCAGAAGAAATGTCAATAAAAGAGAGTAGTTTGTAAGTTCTGTTATCTAAAACTGAAACCTACCAAGAGAACTATGACGTCCCTACATCCCCCACCAGTCTTCTACTTCTAACAATGGTGCTCAGCATAACAAAAAGCTGTACAAAAATGTGCAGTTTCAGTACTTTGGAAACTTTTCTCAAAAGTAGTACAGGAGTTTCAAACAATTATTCAAAAGGGGTTTCAAGCAATGGAGAGAGGTTTCAAAAACCAACTACACTTATTCCTCCACAAATTGAGGTTATGTTGTAGGCCTTTTATATGAACACATTTTTTCATAGATTAAAATAACTTTTCGTAATTGACAAAAAAACTGTGATTCAACTGTAACTCAATACTCGTTATTATTATTATTCGAGATGGGGAAGCCATCTACTGTATGTGCGTATTTTAACACAAATATGAGTGAAGGTTGAGTGTAGAATGGAGTGTGATGCCTTGTGTTGCTTTGTTACTGACTAAGACCAGCTGTTTCATTAGTCAGTACTTTATTAAAAGCCGAATGATAAACCACAGCTAGGTCCATGTTTCGAACCATCAAAAAGCTACACACTTTTCTCAGGATGGAACCAGCGACCTTTTGATTACCAGGCGAGCACTATAACCACTGAGCTACCCAGCTATTTTGATCTCTAATATGAATCTTATATAAATAAAATTAGAGTTTTGACTGTACATTGCTCAGAATCATAAACTTTTAGGTTATGTTTGCGTTTTATACATTAAAGAACCCGAAACAAGTCTCATCTAAATTTCTGTCTGTCTGTCCTGTCTCTGTCTTCATGTCTGTCACGGCCCAAGAGCCATTTTACGCGGCCTTCTCCTGAAAAACGAGAGTACCTATCAAGTTCCAAATTATTTTAATGTATTCACTGGATTGGCGAGATTGTCTTTATCCATTAAAATATGGCGTCACTACTTTGTAAATAAAATGACAGACGTTTAAAAACCCATTTTGTGCGATCTTTTGTAAAGTTTTCCCAATGTTTATCACATATTCATCTATGAAATAACGAACAACTGTTCGAATCAAGATTATTTCTTCTAGCTGTCACTGATATGTTTACATTGAATGTTGTTTACAAATACCGTAACCAATTCCGATCACGTTTTGAAAGCAAATGGAAACCAAGTAAGATTAAAAACGTTTTTTTCATACATAACGGATTTAATTAATCGCAAGTGCAATAATTTGTAGGGTAACCATAAACGAAAATAGAGATTCTTTGTGTATAAAATTGTTCTTGAGTTTTGATAACTGGGGAAAAGACCTTGAATCAGTGTTGTACATGGCTGGGAAACTTACATTTTTTAATTTCGCCGAAATGCATCTCCTGTAATAGGATACATTAGGATCGACCGGCGGATACAGGTAATTTATCCTTTTATTGATTGTCATACCGATCCGGAACAACAACAAACAACATAAAATGAAGTTATGTATAATAGTTTGGCCAGCATATCTGAAAATATGCAAACCAACTGTTGTTCTTTATACTGTATATAAGAAGGTTTCAACTGAATACTATAAGATCCCCGTGCGTAGAACGGGTACACAGCTAGTATGGCAATAATATTACTTAAAATGGGGATGCAACTAGCGTGCATTTTGAAGAAAGAGTGTGAATTAAATGACATGCCTATTTATACTTATTAACTAAGATGAACTGTTTATTTAGCGAGTATAATTTACCATACCAATGATCAAGGACAGCTGGGTCCAGTTTTGAGTCATCAAAAAGCTACTGACTTTATTCATGTAATCTTTCAAAGGAATGCCAATTAGCCAGGGATAGTAAGGCATTTTTTGAAAGGGAAATGAGTTAAGCTAGCTTACATGGCAAATTTAGAGCCCAGGAGCAAAGAGATAAACCGTAAAATAACACAAAACACAACACTAATATTTCATCACTGATGTAGATTATTTCTTCAACCTACTTTTAGATAAAGTCCTACATCAGGACGAAATATCAGTTTGGTGTTTTAAGTGCTTTTACTTTCTATATATTATAGCTCCTGGACTTAAATTTTCCAAGATAAGCTAGCTGAACTCAATTACTTTACAAAAATTTCCTGTCTTTACTCAGGACAGGTTCAAACCATTTCTCATTCCTCAAGCACAATGGCCAATCAGTTACCCACCAGAAATGATAATTAACTTAGCACGTACCATTACCATCTGTCACAGTGTTGCCGCAATCCGTGTGTGACCTGACGTGGGTCAGATACAGGTGATAGTCTGTGATACGTTTACTGCACACATCACAGCCAAAGCGTCCGTCCTCGCCTCTATGTACAGAGTTGCGATGTTGCACGGCCTCTCGGTGAAAGTCGAACTTGATAGGACACAACTCACAAGAGAACTGGACTTTCACTTTGTGTACCTTAAGTTTGTGAAGGCGAAGGTTACCTTTTGAATGCAGTTTTTTACTACAAATATCACACTGTTGTAGGTACTTTTTCCTTTTCTTTCGTGGTTGGATCTCCTGCAAACCAGGTAATCTGATACAAACTAATAGTGTGTACTTCATTCATTATGTAAAGTAGTGATGCTCCATCCACTACCAGCAATTTCGAATCTTGAAACCGAAACTAAAATAATAGAATCCAACATTTTGAAACCTCAACGCAAAACTTGTTTACTTGCCTCCAAGGTAACAAAAAAATATAAGTTGCTAGTAAGATGTTGATTATGCAATTGAAACTGAAAGAAATTGAACTCCTGACCCTGACACAATAACATGACTAGCCTATACCAATACACTTTGAGACCTAAAAATAAATTTTTCATAAACAACAAACACAGACATAAATATGAGATTGATACGTTATTGAAACAATAGCCTACTTAGTTTTTAATCGCTGACTGAATCTTGAAACCAAAACTTTTCTCAAGTATTGGTTTTTTTGAGATTTGGTTTGGACGCATCACTAATGTGAAGCCATTTCTAAAAGTTACACTTACACCAGAGTGAGGAACACATGTTCATGTTCTAGGAAACCAAGAAACACTAATTTTTTAACAGAAACATTTTGATGTTGCAAACAGTTTTTAGAACAAATGTTCCTGTACTTCTACGCTGGTTACTGGGTAGGTAATAGGTAATAGGTAACACTTCCTCACTACTCCCCATGCCTACTCAACACCACATGACTGATACTGAGTGATACTGAAATGAGTGTTACCAACAAAAAGTTCCAAATATTTTGTTCCAAACTCCACTGTAAACGTGGCTCTTGTTATTGATATTAATACCTACTATTATTACCCATTAAGATGGGGATACCACCTAGGTGTGTATTTATTTAACCCAAATATGGTTGAAAGATGAGTGTAGAATGAAGTGAGATCCCTTGTATAGCTTTGTTACTGACTGAGACCAAATGTTTCATTAGCCACGACCACTTATTAAAAGCCATTTAATCAAGGACAGGTGGGTCTGATTTGGAGCCATCAAAAAGCTATTAAATTTTCTCAGGATCGAACCGGCGACCTTTTGAAGTTACTGCCACTGTGCTACTGGGTTACTCATTTCGAGGTTACTGTTAGTGTTGGGTTAAGTCCCTCCCAACTCATCATGTACCATAATAGCTTAATTTTCCTGTTTCTTTCTTTAGTCTTGTATCAACATACACATTACATGGCTAAAACTTAAATTAATTGATTGCATAAGAATTTATAAAAAACCCTAATTTTAAGTTGGGCTTACCCACGTACAAAAAGTTATTACATTTTAAGAAGTGGAAATCTGAAAAAATAAGGAGTGCACCATCAGAGAACCCATGAGCCGCATGTTTACACGTACACTAACAACTAAGTTACACTTTATTTATAGCGTAGGTGCTTAAAACCACTTACCTCTATATTTTCAGGTTCACATTTTTCAGTCAAGCTTTCGTCTTCCGAAGAACTACCATTAGTATTATCATCGTTCAGTGAAATTCCCAAAACGTCATGCTCTTCGGACACTTCATCACAATTGATATCTGGTTCTGAACATTGCTCTTCTTGGACTTCTGACGATACATTATTCTTATTTTTAGAAGGCACATCACATGTGTATTCTTCAATAGGAACATCTTTATTCTTCTCTTTACTAACTGATGCAACATCATTAGTCACATTGACCTCATCATTCGGAAGATGAGATTGGAGGTGATGTATTTTTAATGGAAGTTCTGTATAGGTGATTTTGCAAACCTCGATATCATCTGGCAATTCTTGTTTCACTTCAACCTGGTGAAAAAAGTAAAGCTAATAATAAATAATATTTAATAATTAGTGAAGAGCTACATTTCATTTGGATGATGATTTGGATGATCCCATGGTCAGTAGGTAGTCAAATATAAGTCCTCGGGTGACGATTGTGTCATTAAATAAGCTGAACCAGAGGCTAAGTTCAGCTTATTCAAAGATGCGGTCCTAACCTGAAGACCAAGAAGATTTTACTACCTATATTTCATGAATACAAAAAACAAAACTCCAACACCTTGTACAAGTGTGGGAAAGTTGAAAGAAAGTAAATTTCAACCAACATTAAACTAAAAACGGCTGTTCTTAGTTGAGATTTATTTCATAATTCATGGATAAATGACGTTTGCTGTTTGACTAGGGATAGTAGACTGAATAGGCTAAAATGTTAATCTACAAAGGAACAACTACCTTTTACAAAAGTTATGAACAATGTAAATGAACTCATTAGAGTCGGGACCACATAAGTTTGCAGTTGAGGGAGGAGCCTATCTACCATATGGGTTTGAATGAACCAATGAGAACCGTGCGGTGTTGCCAAATCTAATAATACCAGCTGATTTGAAAATATTGCTTAGTATATATTTTATTAGTGCGATGTGGCAACGTTACACTAGCCTTGTCTTGTGATTGGCTGCCACCAACTGCAAACTTACGTGGTCCCGACTCTAGTTATTCAGCTATTTTCTAAGAATACGCTACTTATTTTGCTTGTATATGCCTTGATTTTTACCCATTGAAAGTTGTCAAAACTGTCTGGTCCGAGAGGATCGGACGAGTGAGAGTCGATAAGGTCAGTTCTCGCTCCCAGCTCCATCTGTAACCAATCACAGTTTCACAGATCGATGGTTCACTTAGTTAGGCAGTAGAGAGGCCAATGCTTATTTTAAGAGAAATATTTTTCATATTGTTATTTTCATTATTAATCATATTGGTTTTCATTGTTATTTCATATATTATCATTATTAAGGACGTAGCCAGTGGAAGTGCTGAGGGTGCTCCAGCACCTCCAAAAATGTTCATAAAATAAAGTTGTCTAACAAAAACTAACTGAGGCTTTTTATCCTGTTCAATAAACCTGTGTTGATGCCATGCCGGTTGGTTTATCGAAGTAGTGAGCAACGTTAGTTGAGATGTTATGTCTTCCTACGCAAAATCACCAATTAAGTCATTGAAGGATTCAAAACTATCCTGACTTTTACTATTAAGCTAAGCCGTTAACAACTAGATTGGTGTACCAGAGCTTTCAAGTAACCAATGTCAATTACGCAAGCAAATTGTACAAAACATCTCACACAATCGCGGCAATTTCTGTGATCGGCCTAATTACTTGGCGATTACTAATTACATCATCCAGTGCGGTAAAATCCGTAATTTGTGATAGTTTCCCACAATCTAAATTTTTGACAACACAACTCCACGCCCAAATTCACAAATTTTTTCTGGTCATCAAAATTCACATACAACTCCCAGTTTTCTGGTTTCCAGATCGGTTTGGCACCCTGCAAAGACAATAGAGAAAAATTTTACCAGGTACTATAGAAAATTATACTTACAAAATGGGACAAGCCATTAGTTTTTGGCAACAGAGGCGGCTTCTTGCTCTTTTTGTGTTTAACACTACCGGTACCGGTATCTTTTCTTTCCGAGCTACTTTCAACTTGTCTGCAGCTATTGGTAATTCTTCTTTGCTTCTTATTTCCTAAAAAATTTATACTTATTTAATCACAATGCTATTAGGGTTCTTACTATAAAATAGGCTATGCAGACTTGTGAAAAGAAACATGTTAACTTTAAACTTTTTTAATGATGCTAATGTTCAAGACATCTTGTTTTGAGTGAGAAAAACAGCTTAAAAATCCACACTTAAGATTCCCCATTGAACTAGAATCCCAAATCTGGTAGAGTAAGTTTAGCTTATTAATAACTTAGTTTCATTTATTAAACATCAATAAAAACTTAAACCATTCATAAGTAAACTAAAATTCAATGTGTACCTAACTTACATTAAAAAAAGCATAAGGCCTAGGCTATTGTAGAAACGATATATCGAACCGAATCAAAATCGAGATAAGTTATTATAGTTAGGCTACGTAGGCTAATCGGCTAATTAATAATATACTCCTATTGCGTTTTCTATGCGGAACTGTAGGTTATCCAAATGGATTTACTTACATTAGGCTATAGAGAGAGAGAGAGAGAGAGAATAACTTTTAATCAAAATCGTTAAGATTTGACAGGCGTCAGAGTAATGTTATTGTTATAATAGGTGAGATTGTGTAGTGAGTGTACTTCAGATAATAGGTTCTCTCCAGTTCATGAATTCTTTAACAGAATAGAAGGGACGTTGGGAAAGCCACTGCTTCAGGTGAGATTTTACTTGGTTGGGTCACACAGACTTCAGTTCTTCTGGTAGAATATTGTAGAATCTGGCTCCGGCGTAGGAAGGTTTCATCTCGAAAAACTTCCTGTGATGAAAGGGCAGGTTGAAATCTCCAGCATGTCTGGTTTTGTAGGAGTGAAGATGGCCATTTCTTTTGAGGCTTCTGGAGCATGCGGAGTCCACAGCTTCTAAGATGTATATGGCTACAACAGTGAGTATTCCCCAATCCCTGAAAGTCGTTCTGCAGCTATCTCGCCAACCCAACTTTGCCATTGTTCGTATGGCTCTCTTCTGGAGAAGTAGGACTCTTTCCAGATTGGCGCAGGATGATCCTCCCCAGAGGGATACTCCATAGTTCATGTTGCTCTCGAAGAGAGCGTGGTAAACGACTCTTGCTGTTTCCAATGTACTGGAGGCCATGACTCTTCTGATTGTGAATAATGCGCTACTTAACTTCATGCAGAGGATATCTACATGGGGTATCCATGTAAAAGTGGAATCGATGGTCACTATATAGGCTACTAATTATTCCGTAGGCCTATAGGTGCCTCCAAACGAACACCATTAGCTTTAACATAATGATTTTATCTTTTTTAGGCCTATAAATAACCAGAGGAAGCTAGACGAAATATCCCACAGTGGATGAGCGTAGGCTATGGTTAAAAATGTTTCGATAAAGATTGAACTAGGCCTACTGTAAGTGATGACATAGAAGAATAGAAAAAAACCCATAGATAGTCAACTACAATTTTATTTTTCTTACTACACAATTGAGATAGATACTAGTGGAGGTGGAATTTCTTAAAATAGAGAAACTTTCTGAGCTCAAAGCAGTAAGTTACCTACTTAAGCTTACCGGTACCTACTTAAAATTGCAAGTGAGAAAGACTCGGTTTATTAAAGCTTACTTACAATAACAACAAGATTAATCAAAATTTTAGGTAAACATTTCAAAACCATACAAATTAAGTTTAAGTTACCCGTGTTGGTTTTCTCATTTTCAACTTCAGACATTTCTTCAAGAACATCCATAACCACTGCTATTTGCTCAAGGTTAATTAAAGACTTCTCTCTTGCTTTTCGAGGAAAATGTTCTCGTTTTTCTTGGGTTCCATTTTTAAAATTTCTTTTAGACTTTGCCATAGTTGTATTCAGAAAACGATGTTACTAACGAAAACCAAGATAAGTAAACAAACAATGAAACAATGTGAATGTCGCTATAAAACAATGATGACAACCGAGAAAAACTCAGAACTTGTGGTTGGTGTTGGTACTACTGAAGTTCTCAAACCTGTTAAGTTTTAAAAGGGATTTTGGAACATACTGATTAAATAAACGATATCATTGATTATATATACCCCTTTGGGGCTTGGGGAGATGCATGGCCGCCTTGCTTTAACCCAGGCCGCGGCCTTCGAAGTGGCAACGTCGCAAATGGTGTTGTAACAGCTGTTTTGTTTGGAAGCAGCTAATGGTATTTGTGTATTCACGAAAGATTGGTTACTGGACTATGACAATATTGACTCCGCTTAAAATGTACAGATATAGAATTTTAATTCGTATTGTTTCGGTTTTCAATTCTGTATGTTTTATTTTCAATATTTTAATAAATTTATGTTCATAAATTTAAATTTAAATCAATAAAGTGCGAATTAATGAGCTGATGTCACCTGTCTGCCATGTTATCTTATGGGACGTCTGTCACTTCACTTACTGCAGCTCTGTTGATCAATGACATGACTGTAAACCTCGCTGATGCTCTGCAACGCGCTCAGAACTACTGCCTAAGATTCATTTATGATCTAAGACGCAGTGAGCGCATCACCCCTTTCTACATTCATTCTAAGTTATGTGACCTGAGATCAATCAAAATCCTTTCGCTTACCTATTCAATATTAAAAAACAATTTTCCAAAATATTTTGTAGATGATTTTAGGTTTGTAGCTGAAGAAAGTGTCAGACACTCACGTCATGCATCATTAACTTTGCGTATGCCTCACCATAAGACTGCAGTTTACGACAGAGCGTTTGTTGTAACTGCTTGCCGTCTTTGGAACGATCTCCCTTTAGCTATTAAATTCCTCGATTGTCGTCCAACTACTACTATCCTTCCATATATTCCACAATATATACTTCCAAATATATGGAATGGAGATGACAGTACTGTAGGAGTCCTAATATATTTTAATAATAATGATTACACGATATAAATCTAATATATAAAATTCTCGTGTCACAGTGTTTGTCTGCAAACTCCTCCGGAACGACTTCACCGATCGTTATGAAATTTGGTGTGTAAATTCTGTAGGTATGCGAATCGGACGTAAACTATTTCCCGTTTCGAAATTCTTAAAAGGGCTCCGCCCCAGTGGCTCTGGAGTTTCCCATGTTAACCTTATGAGAAATGGAATTAATGAATCTTAACAGCTGTTTCAATTAAACAAGTTGGTTCTGTTCTATGATGTTCAATAGCATTAAAGTTACAAGGATTACCAACAGGGTGCAGCACTATTATTTCTTTTACATTTATGACAACAGCTAAAATTTGCAACCAAAAGGTGAGTGAGCGTAGCGAACGAACTTCAACCTGGAGGCGAGTTAACGTAGTGAACGATCTAACCTGAAGGCAAGTGAGCGCAGCGAACGAGCTCCAACCCAAAGGTGAGTGAGCGTAGCGAACGAACTTCAACCAGGACGTGATTGAGCGATGCGAACGAGATCATCTTGAAAATTAAACGTAACGGTACTTTCTTTCCATCGGTCTGTCTTAGGGGAAACCTATAACTTAGGCGATACGAAGTTCGCCGGGTCAGCTAGTATACATATATATGTATATATATATACCGTCAACTATAAAAGTAATTAGACTTTCCCTTATCCCAGCTGTAAGAAAACCTGGACCCACTCACTGCCAGTGGTACCAACATGAACGCAGAAATCTCAGATGTTTATTGTTATTGTTTGTTACTAATTTTTAATTCTGCTAGTGCTAAGTTTGGTTTTAAGAGGTTATGTTTGTGAATTCCGTTCAAATGTAATATCGTCGTAACATATTAACATATTGCATTTTAAACTATAAGTTATTAGTTTATAATGTCGGTAACTCTAGATATTCGAGTTAAAAAGGCCAACAAAGTTTATCATGAAGGAGTAAGTTTATTGTTTGGTAAAAATACAATGTAGCCTATCAGTCTATGGCTTGTTTGATCAAAGGGGCTTATTTGCCCAAACAAATTAACCTAGTAATAAAGTATGTTTATTTTCATAGAGCAATGTAATGTTTGGTGTTATTTTAGGACTACAAAATTACGCATATTTCAAATTGAAGTGAACAGCGTAATTTAAAGAAAATCGATAAGTTGTCGCACTTTTGGTCATAACCCTAGTGAGTGAGGTTTCATTAACATGCATTTATTAGCCTACTTAATCAATATGCCTTAGAAATTACTAACCAACCTCGCTTCCTCTTTCAAAAGACACACTCAGTTCCAGTTGTAAGCCTCCCTGAACTAATGATAATGGGAGCACTGTTCCTCCCTCAAATCAAGCCAGCCCAAACTCACATCTAATTGTACCAATTATAAGACCTTATTATACTACAGCTTATTATTAATCCAGCTACCGTACAATTTAATGAATTTTACTTTTACAGGAAACTATCAGCGGTGTGGTCATTTTCAACTCTCCTTCTGATCTAAAGCATGATGGAATCACTTTAAATTTAGAAGGGACGGTTAATTTACAGTTAAGTCCCAAAAACGTTGGTGTTTTTGAAGCTTTCTACAATTCAGTAAAGGTAAGTTTTGTGCGTTGAAAAGGTTGTGTATATCTTCACATTATTTGGCTTAGCAAATATTCTTGATAGAGTTGGCCTTGGATTATGTGGGCTCAGTGTGCAAACATTCGGGCACCTTACTACAAACAAGTACCTAGTATCTCAACAATACTAAGTTAACTAATCAAAATCTCAATGTATATTAGTACTAATAACCCCCATTTTTCTCTTTAGCAAATTTCACATAGCCTAACTTAATAGGGAATAAGCTATTACCGTACGGTAGGTCTAATGGTAAAACATGGACCCGGGACCGATTTACTTTTTCATTTTTGATGTCCCCAGAGGTCAAAAACACCATACAACTTGCTACAGTAACGAATATTTTTCAATCTGTGTTTTGAACGGTTTATGTTGTTGCTTATTTATCATCAATGCTAATTTAAGTTTGCAATATAGGTAGGTATATATTAGTAACATTTTATTCCATAAGATTAATAAAAGTTGAAATACATGGTTTCAAAAGTTCTACAGTACCATGATATCCAACTAGGCCTAAAATCTGATGATTTTCCAGCCGATTCAGTTGGTACAATGCTCAATAGAGGTAGCAGCGCCAGGGAAAATGCCATCAGGCAAGACAGAAGTTCCGTTTGAAGCTCCACTTTATCCCAGACCCAACAAAACTCTGTTTGAGACTTATCATGGGGTTTTCATCAACATTCAGTATCTTCTGCGATGCACGTTGAAGCGAAGTTTTCTGGCAAAGGATCTGACCAAAGTTGCTGAGTTCATTGTCGAGTATAAGGTGAGATGTTTAAAACCTAGCTAATACAGTAGATCTATTTGGTTTGGTTAGGTATCCTCCCAAAAGTCATTAAAAGTTGTAACTGCGTAAGGAAAGGAGTTTTCAACCGGATGTAAATAACTATACTTACTTACTGCCGTGGCTCTGGGTACCCAAGGTGGTACTTTGGTTGTAAATAACTATAGGCCTACATGTTTTAATTACTGGTTTCTAGCTATAATTTGATTAAATCCTCAAATTTGTTTATTATTATGTATTTTTTATTTTTTGTGAATTCATTTTTACTTTAAAACAAATTTGGTATGTTTTGGAATAAGTTTTGATCTATTGAAATAGAAAATAAAATATTTTGATCAAGCATTTTCTTTACTGTGTTAGGCTTGAGTAAATAATCCACAAAGGTGTAGACCTACCAAAATTTTACTTTTCCTCAAGGAATTTAAATCTTGCAATAAATGTATCAGCCTAAAAACCTTCATTCTGTAACGCCGATTTCTCATGTAAGATGAGGTGTCTTGTATTAGGTACTGATTGAATCAGGGTGATGTACCAATGAATGTGTAGATCATTGTCAATTTATATTTCCGTGTTGGCAATATTCCAGGCGAGCCAGTGTGAGAAGGCAGTTCCATCACCTGTCAAGTTCTCCATCGCGCCTGAGTCGTTGCAGAACGTCCGAGACCGAGGCAGGATACCGCGGTTTGCCGTCTCCGGAATGTTGGATTCCACCGTTTGTTGCATCACCAAACCCTTCACTGGACATGTAAGTAGCCTACCTTTTGCTTACCCGGAAAACAACATAAAATATTGAAAGTGGGACTTTTACCTCACAGAACTTTCTTCGAAGACTCAAAGTACCCTGGAGAAGATTGCACTTAAATTTATAAAACTATAGTAAATAGGCTGTCTTAAATTGAATTGGTATATCTCAGCGACTATTCCGTAATTTGGTTGCGTAAAACAGAAATGAATTCTCTAGCTGTTCACTTTTTTTATTCTTATTTTTAAATGGCCTAGTTGTTTAGGGAATGATAGACCTTTACGTAACTGACTTGGTTGATAAATTTGGCTCCACCACCAAGCGGAATTAGCGATGACTTTGATTAGAGAGCTAAATTTGGCCTGCAACAAAAAGATTGATGTTTCTCCAAATCATTTTAGTTGTACTAAATTTTTAAGATTTTACTCCTTTTTTTAAAACTTAAAAGATAATGCTCTGTTATTATAGTTGACAATGTACCATGATATAGGTCTGACATATAGTTGAAGTAAATTACTATTTTACATAATTTAATGTTTCAGTTGGTTGTAGAAAGCTGTGAAATAGGAATCAAATCGATCGAACTTCAGTTGGTTCGTGTGGAAACCTGTGGCTGCGCTGAAGGCTATGCACGGGATGGTAAGGTTTATTTTCACAGTTCACTGTTTTGAAAATGAATTGTTATTAAATGCAGGTTAAAGAGGCAACATTATGTACCTAGTTCAGCTATGTAGTTTTTTTAAATGACTAATTGCATGAGCATTTGAAAAACTCAAATAAAATCAATGTATATTTCTAGAAAGTATTTAGTTTTACAGGATATTATCAGTAAAAATACAAGGTTTTAATAAGATAAGTTACATGACTTTCTATAAGTTGTACTCTTATATCAAAAGCTACTACACTGTGTTGTCATTCATATTTTACAACAATTGAACACATATTTTTACAGCAACCGAGATCCAGAACATCCAGATAGGCGAGGGTAATGTGGCTCGAGGCATCCATATCCCGATATATATGATATTTCCCAGACTTTTCACCTGCCCTACACTGTCCACAAGCAACTTTAAAGTTGGTGAGTAAAACAAAGAAACAATAGAACACGTAGAAAAATTATTTTGTTTGAGGAACCCTAGAAGACTCAAAAATAATTCACAATTTCAGTTCATCTCTACAGATTCCACGTGGGAACATTGTACATCGAGGTGTAATACATTTATTGAGCACCTCTACAATCATCAAATATGTGGTTTATTATTTAATATTATCTCTACTTGTATATGTGAGCTATGTATTATTTCCTGTCTTCATCGCTATTTTGTTGTTCCAGAGTTTGAGGTGAACATTGTAATAATATTCGAGAATGATCATCTAGTTACGGAAAACTTTCCTATCACACTCAAGAGATCCTGATTATTCCCCTTCCAACTTCCTGAGGGGTCTTCCCTCTAAGAAGTTCTGTTTGTGAGGTCTCAGCTCTCAAGTGAAGTTCAAGAACTCAAATTGTTGATGGTTTCTACTGACTGTTTTAATATGTTATGTTGTAAATGAAGTAATATCCAAGGAAAACATTCCAACTCAATATACATCATCTAGTAAATCTCCTAACTTCAATCTATTATAATGTCAAATGTTATATATACATATACTTTTTATTGTTGTCAAGAGATTGTAAAATAACTTTATCATGTTGTAAAGTGTTTTAATATTTTATAATAAATTAAATTATAGCCCTATGATGCTTGGTTATTGTCAAAACATAAAATGATTTTAATTGTAAAGATATTAAATATGTCCTAGTTATCTTACGAGACTACTATAAAACTGATATTAATATGTTTAGGATTATTATGTACAAGGATAGGAATCAGCTAGCTTACCTGGTAGACAGAGTCCAGATTAGCCTTGATTACACATAAAACACATGACACAACACAGAAAAACTTAATATTTCGTCCCAGTTAGGGACTTCATCAGAAGGGAGAAGAAAGAAATGATTCCTATCCTTGTTCATAATAATTCTAATCAGCCAATTGGCCTTTCCTTAACTCCTAACCTATTAATATGTTTTCACCACACTATGATGTTTTTGGCTGTATTACATACATTAATTGGTGGCTGAAAGTTACGTTTTGCTGGCCATGCCAGCTGTCATCGTAATTTGGGGACCGAGCAGGATTTTACATCCCAGGGCCGCAAAATCAGCTGTCCGCTTACTTATTAAAAACATGAATCTTATATACTTATTTAATACGCAAGCAGATTTTTTGTGACAATTACTCCTCTGAAACTACTGAACCGATTGTCATGTTTTTGGTGTCATTGGAAAGAGCGTAACGTGAAGTTGTGCAGGAAACTCTCTTTTTAGGGAAATAATGAGAGAGTGAGGCCCTGGAGCCCTTTAAAGTTTTGTATTTCTCCATAAGATTAACATTGGAAACAAAAACTGTTATGAAACTCCAGCTGTTGTCAGAAATCAAAAGTGAGAAAAAGAGCATATGTTAATTGTAAACAGTCAATAAGTTTGCTAATTTAACAATTTGCTACAAATATTTACCCTCTTGGTTGAAATTCGTTTTAAAATAACGCCTGTAATACTTAGCAATTGCTCGAATTCGAGCAACAGGGACACTAGTGCATTTTAAATACACAATCAAAATCCATAGCATTGCAATAGAATTGTGTTATTGTCACCGTTGCCAAGCAACTATTTATTTATTTATTTGCTGATTCCTCAAATTATTTCTTCACATAACCTTAAAGTTGTAGTTGTGTTGACTATCAGTGTGCATTATTATAGTGGTGAATAGTGGTAATAGGGTATAGTGTGGTGAAAAATAGCGTTCGTACCACGGACCGAAATGGTTTTGCAGCTCTCGATCGATTTAAGTTCTCGGCTTCGTCTCGAACTTAAAAACTATCTCGAGCCGGCAAAACCTCATTTTTGGCCCTAGGTACGAAATATACTATTTGGTGATTAAGGATAAAACTATCATATTATATGATCTACCAGTATAAGCGCATGGCATCTCTCGATTAAACTGCTATGAATATGGCTGTACCCAATGAGTCCGAAACATTAGCAATGTAATAAGTATCTGTCTGTGACACAGTCATATACACAGAAGACAAGGTTCTAAAGCAAGAAAATTGTTATATTCAGGAGTGCCAACAATAAAAGACATCCATAGACCAATGTTTGGTTGAGTTTTTATTTGTTCTGAGAAAAATGTTAAATTATTATCACTTGATTCATTCATTCATGGATATTTAGGTCTTAATTTGAAAAAATATAGGTTGCTTGAAATCAAAATCACAATAATGTTTGGTTCCATCCTTTACCGCCGAGTAGGAGGAACCACATCCATCCACTTCTGGAGAATTTTCATGAGATTTCCTGAAACCAGAGGTTAGGTGTATTAAAAAGGGATCACATCATTTGTCCGAGTTTTCAACTGTCCGAGTTTGTTAAAAATTACAAAATATTTGAAAAATCATTTGTCCGAGTTTTCAACTGTCCAAGTTTTGATAAATAACTAATAATAATTAGATAAATCAACTGTCCGAGTTTTCATTTGTCCGAGTTTATTAAATTATTTTAAAAAATATTGAAATATCAAGTGTCCGAGTTTTCAACTGTCCGAGTATGGCTTAAATAAAAATAATATTTCGTTAAATCAACTGTCCGAGTTTTCATTTGTCCGAGTTTTTAATTATTTAAAAAATATCAAAATATCATTTGTCCGAGTTTTCAACTGTCCGAGTAGGGGCAACATCAAAATGTGACACTGCGCGCCGAGACTAGCGTGTCTAAAGCGCCTGTTCAGAAGTCGATGTGAATCCCTTCTGTGAAGGAATCAGGCATTGTGCGAGCCGCGAGAGCCCCTCACTTCGAATTAAGAAAAATTATTTTATTTTTATATAAGACTAATTTTACAATTATTAATTATAAAGTTAAACTCTCATCACCTAACACAACCAACCAAACTTGCTGATAATATAAAATACCCTCGCCATTATTATATTATCAGCAAGTTTGGTTGGTTGTGTTTGGTGATGACAGTTTAATTTTATAATTAAAAATTGTAAAATTAGTCTTATAATAAAAATAATATAATTTTTCTTAAGTCAACGTGAGGGCCTCTCGCGGCTCGCACATCGAAGTATATAAAGTGTTATATACTTCGATGGGCTCGCACAATGCCTGACTCCTTCACAGAAGGGGTTCACATCGACTTCTGAACAGGCGCTTTAGACACGCTAGTCTCGGCGTGCTGAAATGAATCAGTCAGTATGGCGCACCCTGTGGAAAGAACCGGAGCTATTGCATGTGCGTTGCTAGCGTTACATAACCTATACAATTGTTTGGCCATTGGACTTTCATTGAGGTATTCCTCTTGTATTTTTGCTCTATGACACAGCAATATATTTTATTGTTTATTATTTTAGTTTATGTGCCTCTTGAAAAAGACTAGAGGTCGGTCATCCAGTGGTCGAAAACTCAACCAAAAACATGTAATGTGCAGACTTTTCTATTTTCACCCTAGTATTTAAATATACTATTGTTTTGACCTGACTTTCAGTTTCAAGTGTTAAAATTAGTCAACAAATCAACTTTGACCGGCTTAAAAATAGTTTAGTGCATTCACCACTCCCAAGTTGTACGGCCCTCAGTTCCCTCACATATTATTCACAGTTTAATATTTTGTTGAGTTTTATTAAGTATATTATATACAATATTTGAAGGAACAAGGCTGCAATAATCCAATTAAATGTTTGGATGGTAAGATTTTCAGACTTATCCTACTCTACACTAAGTTAAAAATACCTAATCCACGGATCCGATTCTTTTTGAAGACAAAAACGTACTGCACGATTATACCGATGGAAATGCCTACAACAGCTGGGAAATAAGTGTTGGTCGGCCGGGTGATGATGGAAGCAAAGACGAGCATCCAAGATATCACCAGCACTAACCAAGGAATGGCCAGAGGTACCTGTCAACACGATAAAGTAAGTTTCAAGCAGAAGCATATAATTATTTTTTGATAGTAAAAACTAAAAAGTAAACTGTCGTGTGTGTAGGAAATGTGATAAAAATGTTGAATGGATGTAGAGTTACACTCATTCAAAGCTAAGGTCATGTTCTCGCCCGATTGTAACAAATTATTTTATTTGATAAAATTGAAACCCAGTCTTAGGAATGTTTACTTTTAGATCAAAGGTTTTTGTCAGTGCTACTTACCGGTACTTTTTGATGGATTAAAATGTACAACTTTACTGAAATTGCTACTTCATAGTGGAGTAACCTGGTAACTCGCTCGTTTTGTTCTGAGGTAACTCAAAGCAAAGTCGGACCCTATGTCATTGTATATATTGTAAGTATCCCCAACAACCATGAAGGTATTAAACTTGTTGCTTATACAGTTCAAAAATGACGTTTGGTATGTGAATGGTTTATAAAACTATCTATAAAAAGCCCACCTTGTATGGACGGTTTGCCTCAGGTTTTTTTACTCTCAGAATCATCAACGCTATCATGGTCAATCCGTAATACAGCCAGAGGACGAAAGAGTATGCATTGACTAGATATTGAGTTTTATTACCGAAAAGGAAGAAAACCAGTGAGAGGATAACCTGAAACATTATAGTTACATTTTTAGGTCAACGATAACATGAATAAAAGCTTTTAACAGTAAGAAACTACAAAATTGTTTGTGTCATATTTATTTTCTTTTAATTACTAAAGTAAATTAAAATATGTCTAATAACACTTACAACATACAGGATGTTCTTTAAAAACTTACGGGCCCCCTACGTCAATAGATGATTCCCGCAAACTGCATATTTCTATCTATTGCGGTTTTTACATAAATAAAGATGCAAGTTAAAAAAAAAACACCCTGTATATTTACACTACTTTTGACTCACAAGACGTTATAAAAGATAGTAAGTGGTTATCGATTTCCATTGGACACTCCAATCATCAGAACCAATATTTGAATGTGATCTTCATTTCTCTTAAACCAACTTTCTGAAGAAGTCGACATCTGGTCGAAATATCAGTGTTATGTTTTGCGTTCTTTTATTGAGTACTATCTATTAGCCACTGCACTCTAATTTTCTCAAGTAAGCTAGCTAGCTATTCCTTATTTTTACAATTTCCAATAGAATCTTTTATTTTGTAAATTGAGTTATTGTCTTCAATGGTTGTGTTTGGGATTTATTGTCTTCGAGTGTGTTGTGTTTGGGAATTGGTAAAGCTGGGTTTTCCTAGGCGCGGAAGCGGAGAGCGGAGAGAGGAACGCGGAGAGCGGACTTCTCTTGTCTTAGAGTAATTTAATGTTACTGTTTTCCTAGAAACGGAGCGGAACGCCATGTTAATCGCTTTTCTGTCCTCCGCTCTCCTTTTCCGTGCCTAAGAAAACCTTAAGAGGCAATGTTTATCTTCTATCTTTTAGAAAAAGGAATTCTGAATTAAGTAACATCAATTTACTCTTGATTACAACATCACCAAATCTTTTTTTACAGACATAACACAATACCTGAAATATGACTGCTGGAGTGGGAGTCAACCTCGTTTTGTGTATGTAAGACAGAATCTGTAACATGTGGCCTTCCTTAGCTGCTGCATAGCCCAGCCTATGCAACCAGAGAAACACATTTTAACCACCCAATCTGTGCAACTAACAGTGCCGAATTTAGGGTTCTAGAGGCCCCCCACCAAACAAACCCGAGTGGCCCCCCACCAAACAAACCCGAGTGGCCCCCCACCAAACAAACCCGAGTGGCCCCCCGTCGCCCAGGTGAAGCTTCCCCATGATCGGGGCGAAATCCTGAACATCTCCCTAAAAGCGTTGTGTACCTCTGAAACTTCCTTTGAAAAAGCCACAGACATAATGAGAAAAAAATTACCACTTTGGTGTACCAAGGGGTATAAAGTTGAATACCGGTAGTGTTTTGTTAGTGTCTAACAACATTTTTTGAGTGAGTAAAACGGCCAGTCCAGGAGCCAAGCTTTCAGTGCCGATCTCAGCAAGTTTTCTCTCTTGGTATGCATTTCTTGAGGCAGTGATTTATGAAGTTTTCTGCAATTGTAGGATGACCATTTCTAGTATTGTTATGTTGAGTGTAATTGTTTCTTCACAGATATTTTCTATCTCTACATCTCTACTGCTAGGATGTACAGAGATACTGTTGAACATTTAAACTTGAAACTAAAGTTACATCATACAATTTGCTGTTTTCATCAACATGGATGATACCTGACAGATATTGTAATTTGGAAATTAATTTGAAACACAATGAAGATCTGACAACTGTGGGATTACAATTATATCTCAAAATTAAAATTGGATTTACACTTTACAGCGTAAATTTTCTTACCTTGCAGAATAAAAGATCCCAGACAAGTTGCCTCCCGCGGTACACAAAGACACACAAATAGAAACAAGAAATGCCACTCTGGAGCCAAACAGCTTATCAGTGAATTCCTGAAAATATATCAATTATTCAAGGACTTGTAAACTCAAAGACCACTTTTAACAATAAGCTTGCGCATCCACCAAAATTCAAAACTATTTCGTTAAAAATTACACGAACATATAAAAAGAGTAAAAATTTACAAACTAAATAAGGCTAAGTTAGAAACAGTTTGCTAAATTTTTTATGAGAGGATTTCACAGCTGGTGGCTAGTTTGTATCTAGCTGACAACTATTAAAACATTTTTATTGTGTAAGTCTATATTTCCAAAACATTATTTTCATTATTTTTCAGACGGACAAGTATTTTTCTTTGAAATACATGCATTATTGCCAATAATTCATGTATTACAATTTTTTAAATATTGAATTTTAGACTCTAGAGCATAGCCTCCTCTAATACAAGGCTGCGATGAGACAAAAGTGGCAACACTGCAGCCCCGGCCTACCAAAACAGCTGTTGTAGATTCATTATTGAGCTTTTCCGCAATTTTTATGTTTACATGATTGTAATTAACGACTGTGATTGCTCTGATGCCATACACCAACACCACATATTTGTTTTAGAGGAGCCTAGACTCATGGTTGTCCTATTTCAACGATTCTTTGTTCCACGATAGGAAATGTATGAGAATTTCATTGATTTTGTTTTCTTTTCTACCAAGCAGCTGCTTCGCACGGAATAATTTTACACCTTACTCGACAATCATTAATGAATTTGAAAATCTACTGACGCTAACTAAATGTTTTTTTTAGGATTAATTTTACCCTAAACTACAGTGCATAAATTTTACACCTTGGTTACAAAACCGGTGTAACAAAAAATACCGAAATTCACTCTACATTAGACCTACTAAACATAAACATAGCTTAAAATGGTTTCCATTTTATCTATAAGAATGAAAACTGATAAACGAGTATGTAACATCTACAATTATGTTGCTGAACATATTCACTTAACCTGAGCAACAGCCTTGCTAGATATAAGTTCCGCTGGAGTGAGGGCGCTCAAAAAAGTAAAGTTTAGCAACAGATAACACGCTGTAACCAGTCCAAGTCCCATTATAAGGCTCCTTAAAACTGTCCTGAAACAGACGTAATTCAGTAATTTAAAATCGGCAATCATTTTTCATCAACCCTTTGAAATAAGTCGCAAGGATTTTTGACGAGAAAGGTTTGTGTAACCTAAATAGTTTGTTCCTAGATGTAAATTTACCTATCTGGGTTCTTTATTTCCTCCAACGCACCAGTGAGAATGATCCTGTGAACAAAAAAAAAGTAGTTGGTTGTTGACAAACTTTCAAAATAATTTTTTCCCAATTACTCCAAATTACACAGCTATATACCCCAGTTAAAAATGTTTCAAATCACATTACAGTTTCTTTAACACCATAGGACCGAACCTTGTCCACACTAAAAAAACAAACTATTATAAATTTAAAATATTAATGGGTATGGTGAAAAATTTTACAAAAGGACTATAAAATTTGACTAAAAACTTACGCGCCGTCGTACGCATATAGTCCTGTGTACAGCACAAATGGCATCTTTTCTAGAGTCAATGTTGTAGTCTCAAATCCCATGTCAAACTCCACAGCTTGTTCTTAAACAAAACCATGAGGTTCAATTTGAGTAATCTCTTGGAGACCAAATTTTCTTGCTCTATACTAATTCCACAATATTTTGTTCATACAAGGCATATATATACAAAAGTTTCTGAGATTATTTCAACCACTTATTCAATGTATTGTTTTTCTTGTTTTTTAAGCTATTACTGGCTATTACGTAAAATACCCCCACCTCAGCAAACCTGCAGACTAAGTGAACTTCCATTTGCCTGATTGGATTTACAATAAAATGTCCTTAAAAATATCACATGCATTCCTTATATAAATATAATTACTTTAACGAGTTTTTAGGTTTGCTGCAACAGGGAGGGTAAAAGTTTTTTTTTTTATATTAATAGTTTAGTAAGAAATAAATGCATTTTCCAAATTTGATCAAAATATGTTCATAACCAAGCAAACTACAACAGTTTACATATTCTCCATAAGAATAAAATGGAAATTAAAAAATTTAAAATTTTTTGGAATTTTCTCCCTAACCATTAGGCACATAATAGCGCTTAAATATACTTAGTTATTTGTTTTTTAAGCTCTACAAAATAGTTTGGAAAGAAATTGCTAAATTTTATGTTTTTTAAGTCAAAAATGGGAAAAACCAATTTTTACCCCATAAACGAGTCCCGTTCCTACCCCGTTCCAATAGTCCGTCAAGCTGTTTTGTGAACTCGTTCGAATAGATGTAGGTTTACACCTTTATACCACATTTCATCAAAATCGGATAATTTTTTATTGAGTTATCGTGCTAACGGACATATATACAGTAGGCCTATTAGTTTGAATGGACAGTGTTTTTGGCCTCCAAGCACCTCAAAACGAAAAAGTAAATCAGTCCTGGGTCCAGGTCTTACCATGAGACCTATGGTAATAGCTTATTCCCTATATGGGAAATTCGCTAAAAAGGTTAGGAAATGTAAGAGCAGGTGCTTCTAACCTGACAAAAAATTATATGCTCCGCAGAGGATTAGGCACAAACAGAGCTTCATTTTCAAACAAACGACCAAATCCTGTGAAACCGCAAAGGTTTTCACACTGTGACAGTTGATGAATCCTATCAGTACTGGAACATTAATGAACATGAATAAGAACAACACTTGCAATCATATATTTTTAATGTTTTATTGTAAAGCATTAACATTTCCATTCATGAAAAGTAGATAATTTTATGTTCTGAGCGTTTAATTGTTTAATTGTCTGTTTAAAAGTGATATTTTATCAAAATATATTAAAACTTTGTAACGAGCCTTTTTCCTAGGGGGGTAAATATTTGCTATTTGGCCGCGCACCGATTGTTGGGGTAAGCAAGCGGCGGCGGCGAACCTGGCTAGCACCCTTTGACCCGGCTTATCAGTTCGGATAAGCTTGGGTATCCTGGGACTACCGGATAGCCGAGCAGGACACTCTAGTGGTGGATCTCGTAGAGTGAGGATAGTGTTGGTGTCC